GGAGATCGCCCCGAGCAATTTGACAGGTACTGGTGACCACCCCCAAGGGTTGCCAAAGTGTACGGGTTCGGTGACCGCCCCCAAGGGTTTCCATTTGTACGGGTTCGGTGACCGCCCTCAAGGGTCCCTTAGTGGAATCACGGCATCTTGCATTGTGCGAGGGCGTGAGGAGATTACGGTGGCCTTAGTGGCTTCTTGGGGAGCATTGTGCCTCCACACCGCTCCAAACGGAGATTAGCATCCGCAAGGGTGTGAACTTCGGGATACATCGTCGTCTCCGTGTGCCTCGGTTATCTCTTACCCGAGCCCTTTACTTATGCTCTTTACTTTGTGATAGCCATATTGTTTCTTGTCATATATCTTGCTATCACATAGTTGTTTATCTTGCTTAGTATAAGTTGTTGGTGCACATAGGTGAGCCTAGTTGTTGTAGGTTCTGTGTTTGACAAATTAACCGCTAGGTTTATTCCGCATTTGTTCAAGCCTAAACTGTAATTATTTTGAAGCGCCTATTCACCCCCCCTCCTCTAGGCGACATCCACGATCTTTCAGCCGGGCGGTAGCCCGTTTAGCATTATCCGAGATGAAGAAGAGGATAGAAGCGCAGCAATCCAAGCTCGAAATTTTGGAGGGAATCCCAACCGTTGGAGCAGCTCAAGAATGTATCCTCACTTGACTGAGTCGAAAGCCTTTTTTATATCAAGCTTGAAAAGGAGTGCGGGGGTCTTGCATTTGTGTAGACGTCGGGCGAAATTCCGAACATACATGAAGTTGTGTGGATACTTCTCCTTTTAATGAAAGCACTCTGGGCATTGGAAACGAGGTCATCCATGTGGGGCGCAAGGCGTAGCGACAGAACCTTGGCAATGATTTTAGCGACAGAACCTTGCAGAGTACCATACACTTTGAACATTTTTCGAAAATGACATCATGGCTTGTTATATCTCTACTGTTAAAAGAGCATTCTGTCATCGCTGTGGTCGAAGTGGTGATGGCCACTCCCCTTCTCCTACCGCTCCCATCGTCGTACGATCCATGGAACAAAACCAGCACACGATACACCATGTCAATTCACGTCCCTATATGTGCTTCTCTCGAAACAGGCTTTGGTCCCGCTTGGTATATAAAGCAACACCTTAAAAGTACACGATCGAACAATACAATGTGATGAGGAAGCCCCCACAAAAGTAGATTAAAAGATGCAACATAAAGCCTAGAACTAGCCTAACACCTCCTCGAGGCCCGATCGATGATGCATGGGCTCCACAACAACGCCTCAGGAGGGTGAAGACACGTAGCGTCGCCATTGCCAAGTCCGAGCAAGAAGGCAATGGTTTTCACCCGGAGGCCTAACACAAGGTCGAGATCGACGACAACATGTAACATCATGAAGAGAACGACAACATGGGCGCAGTCATCACCGGCTCCAAGCGTGAAACTTTCGCTCGAACACTCACTTGTACCACCACTGCAATGAGGGCTAGTTACACTAGATCTGGGCAATGTCGGAGAAAGCCCGAACCTCCCACTACTCCACCCATTGCCGCTCATATCACCAAGAGGTGCAGCCACCACCGCCACCATGGAGCCTGCCGGAAAAGAGCAATCGAGCCCACCATCCAGTGTCGCCACCGCGGCATCCTCGGGCGAACTCGTCACCACCGCCATAACATGTGGTCGACACCCCAACCAAACAACAAAACACCGCCTCAACTGGGCAGAGCGGGACTAGAGCACGCGCGGGGAGCAACCAACCTCCGACACGGGGACCAAGTCCAACCCCATCACTGGAAGTCAGCACACGCTGTCGGCTGCCAGCCGGTGCTGCCGGGAGGGGGAGCATCGCCCATCAGACCTGATCCACTCTAGATCCACACGAGGTAGCCCCATGGCAACCAACACCTCTGGCCGCCAAGCATCCACCTCCGTTGGCTCCCCACGGCCCGCTCCGCCACCGCCATCGCAATGCCGAGGACTATCACGCCAACCTGCAAAGCCCCGCCACCACACGCGCATGGGAGAAGAACGTCATCGCTAAACCGGCTCCACCAGGAAGGCCGGACTGTTCGGCTCGGACAGACGCGAGCGGTTTAAGCGTCAACGTTGGAGGTGCCCTTAGCCCAGTTGGGATGTGCTTTATACATATAAATTGTTCGAGGTGCTAGACTCTGGAAAAAGTGGCAAGGGGGAGGTGATATGTCTCACTTAGAGCGAGACAACGGTGTGACGCCCGGATAATTAAGCTACAATAATCCTATGTTAATGGCGCCAGGTCATCGCGATTACTGTGTTAAACTCGCGCTGGTTCGGATCCGGTCCAAATTCAAATTTAAAAGACAAGTCAAATTATTATTTCTCTCGAACTATAAAACTAAAATGTCCGCTTTATTCCTTAGATCCCCCTGATCATTGTCATGTTGAAACTAACTTTAATTGTCTCACGAATAAATTTCTAGGAAATTAATAAGTGGTCCAATCTCAACTAAAAGTGGTTTTTTCAAAATAGTCAATTATTTACTTAACTCCGATTGCCTTCAAACTTTGTGTCCAGACTTGAAATATTGACTGGTATTTATGCGCCAAATACCATGTTGGAAAAAAATCGATTGTTATTTATAAAAATTGCAAAACTGAGAAGAGATAAAAGACATAGAAAACAATAGAAAAAGAATAACCAATCCTTATGCATTTGGGCTTGCGTGCTACAGGAGCTAACCCAGCCCACCAGGAGGAGGTCCCCTCCTACCTCCTGTTCACAGCAGGCGTGTTGGACGCGCCCCCAGCGTCCATGGCTTGGATCGGCCACAGGGCAGCCATCCAGAGGCCCTCCACGGCACATAAAGGCCATCCCCGCCCCTGAAAACCCTAGTCCTCCCAATCCGTTCCCCTCGTTCCGCCCCCTTCGGTTTAGCTGTCATCCGCGACCATCGTGGCAACGCTGCCATCGTCCTCGCGGCTAGTGCCGTCCCCGAGCGGCGAGAGGATGCCCAGGAGATGCGCGCCTTCCTCCTCGTCGCCTACGCAGAGCATCGCAAGCTGGACTGCCTTGGAGCCTCGCCATCGCCCTCATCTTCCCCGGCTGCGACACCACGGTCGCCGCCTCGATCCGCTCGTCTCCGGTCCGTACGACCTCGTCGAGCCCCACCACGAGCTTCGCTGTGAGCAGGGGCGGAGCCAGCTATATGGCGAGGTTTGGCAGGTGCCATACCTAAAATTTGGCAAAAATACTACGTATATATACTATACTTGTCTGAAGATTTGAGCTGAGTTCAGTTTCGTTAGTTGGGAGGAGGAGAACACTCTCAGAGGCGCGTCGAATTGCCCATGGCCCAATTATCCTCCCAGCAGCCCACCTAGCTGCATGTTAGCCCAGCTCCAGTCCTTTTCCAAAAAAAAAAGCCCAGCTCCAGCCTCTAGTAGTCCAGTTACGCTACAAATCGAGCCCGCTGATGGAAATCACGCAGAGACACAACCGCAATTACGGAATCTAGCTCTCGGTTATGGGGATTCCGGCGGCGACCATGCTCGGCGAACGCCGCGGCGGCGGGTGGCACTGCAGGGAATTAGGTGGCGAGTGACACAGCCGCGGCGCAGACCCAAAAGCGACGAGCTTAATGCCTCTATGTGCCAACAACGGCGAGGCCGGAGCAATGACGTCGGGTCAGGATCCTGGCCGTATTGGTTCTAAAATTTCGTACTTCTTGTATCCATTTTTTCAGTCCATACACTAGTAAACATCAATTCTTTTTTATAAATTCGATTAGTTGTTTTTTTAGGGGAATTCGATTAGTTGTTCTGTGCTCTATCATCAGTGAATTTGTTTTTCTGATCTATGAAGTAAGTTGTGATAAAAAAGGAATCTACTATGTACTCCCTCCGTCCCATAATGTAAGACGTTTTTTCACACTGGGACGGAGGGAGTAGTAACTAGAGAGACTAATAAGCAATTTTAGAAAAAAAATGGAAGAAAGCTTCAAAGAGCACTAATTCAACACCGACAAACATTTATGTTTTACAGTGAACGATTTGTGAACCTTTATGTTTTTGATTTTCATTCTAGACTTTGAATACCCATTAAATGTGGCACTCCGCACAGCTACTCTCCAAACTCGCGAGCCTGCATAGCTTCGTGTGATTCTTTCCTGGTTCCGACCTGCCGTCCCTAGCCGGCTAAGTGCCAAAAGATCGAGTAAGGCATCGATCAGAGAGCAACCATGTGAGGTTGGAAGTGCCGGGCCGGGCATGGCAGTGGCCACGGGCGGGCGAGGCAGAGCACGAGCGGCACATAGTTATATTGTACATTGGTTTTTACCTCGTGAAATCCGCCACACCTATAAATTATTCCTGCCTTCGCCACTGGCTGTGAGCCCTCGCTCCTCCTCGACCTCCCCTTACTCCTTCCCGTGCCCTGTAGGCTAGTCCCCATATAGTACCGTCGTCATCGCCGTCGGACGTCACCGTCCCTTTCACTTCCGGCCGTCCTAGCTCGCGTCATCTACGGACGTAGTGTGGTGTCCTCGTTCGAATGGCTCGAACCGCTGCTCCTTTTGGTCCCTGTAGAATACCTTCCCGTTCATCGTCGCCGCTCCTGAAGATCGTCGTCTGCCCGCGTGTGCGGTTAAATGCCGGCCGCATCCTGCACGCCTCCCTGTTGCGCGTCCTCACCCCACGACCACGCCCCCGCTGCTCGCCAGGGCCACGCCCGGCGTGCCCCTGCCCGCCCGCCTGTTGCCGCTCGCGTGCGCGTGCCTGTGCTGACTGCTGCAGTGCCGCTCCCTTTGCTACTGTTGCTCTGCTGCTGCTTCTCGCCTGCTGCCGCCGTTTGTAACTGGTGCTGGCTGCCGCGACCGTCGCCTGCCTATGCCTGACGCAGCCACGGCCGGCCGGCCTCGCCACCCGCAGCCGCTGCTGCCCCATTGCCGTTGTTGCTCGCTGCCTACAGCTGCTGCTCTGCGTGTGCTGCTGCTGCTGCTACAGTAACATTCAGTTACTGTGGCGCGCTAGCTAGCTTTTCTAATTCTATGATGAGTAACCCTCTCGACAGCTCCTAAACTCCGGCAAAACAATTGTTAACAGGACTGAAAAAAATATGGGAAGGTAGTATACTTGACAAACTCCATTTTATCCCACTGGACCAAATACATTTGATGCATGGTTTAAGTCCTATGAAAATTACAAAATGCTATCTTCTAATAACAGAAAACAGATTTAACCTCTAGCATGGGTGTGAGTGTGCCGTGTGAGTGCACATATGTGTGAGTGTGTGCGGCCGGCCCAAACTAGTTAGGTCTAATTTAATTAGCTAGATTAGTCCTAGGATTAATTCTGCTGTTTAGTTAGTATCAGTTTAGTGCTAGATTAGCCTAATAGCCTATGACATGTGGCTCCATTCTAATCTAGACACTAATTTTAATTTAGATGCCTATGACATGTGGGCCATACCTCACCTTTTGACCAGTCAAAGTAAAATGGTTGACCAGCCCCTCGGGTCCCACTGTCATACACATAGGCTAGGGTAACACTAGGTAACAAATGCACATTCTGTCTTCAATTCGATTTAAACAATTTCAAAAAATTCAGAAAATGAATTAAAATTTTAAAAATTAATATAAAATAATCCGTAAATCGGATGGAAAAAACTTTGTACATGAAAGTTGCTCAGAACGACAACACGAATCCGAATACGTCGTCCGTTCGTCTGCCACACATCCCTAACCTATCGAACTCGCAACTTTCCCCCTCCGATTCGTCTGTCCGAAAACGCGAAGCACCGGGAATACTTTCCCGGATGTTTCCCCCCTTCACCGGTATCGCCTACTACTGCGTTAGGTCACCCCTAGCACTGCGTATTGCCATGTTATGCTTTGTGTTACTTTGATTGCTCTATTATTTATTGTATTCCCCCTCCGTTACTTCTTTCCGGTAGACCCCGAGACTCCCGGCAACCCCCAGTTCGACTACGGTGTTGACGACCCCTCTCTCTTGCCAAAGCAACCAGGCAAGCCCCCCCCCCCTCCTTGATCACCAGATATCGCCTACTCTCCTCTATACTGCTTGCATTAGAGTAGTGTAGCATGTTACTGATGCATAGCCTGTCCTTGCTATTACTGTTGTTACTTTTACCTGCAATCCTAATGCTTAGTATAGGATGCTAGTTTATAATCAGTGGCCATACATTCTTGTCCGTCTGCCATGCTATAGTATCGGGCCATGATCACTCGGGAGGTGATCACGGGTATATACTGTATACTTTATACATGATACATGTGATGGCTAAAGCCGGGTTGGCTCGAGGAGTACCCGCGGTTGATTCACGAATTGGGGGCTGGAAGGACATACTTTCTCGACAGCCCTCTGTGTGGATCTTTGTGGCGAAGCGACAGGGCAGGTTAAGACCACCTAGGAGAGAGGTGGGCCTGGCCCTGGTCGGCGTTCGCGGTTATTTCAAATTAACACGTTTAACAAGATCTTGGTATTTGATCTGAGTCTGGCCACTGGCCTATACGCACTAACCATCTACGCGGGGACAGTTATGGGCACTCGACGTCGTGGTATCAGCCGAAGCCTTCGTGACGTCAGCGACTGAGCGGCGCGTGCCGGATTGGACTGGAACGCCTGCTGGGCTAGGTCTGTTTCCGGCCGCCCTCGCAACGTGCAGGTGTGCAATGGGCGATGGGCCCAGACCCCTGCGCCATAGGATTTAGACCGGCGTGCTGACCTCTCTGTTGTGCCTAGGTAGGGCTGCGACGTGTTGATCTTCCAAGGCCGGGCATGACCCAGAAAAATGTGTCCGACCAAATGGGATCGAGCGTGTTGGGTTATGTGGTGCACCCCTGCAGGGAAGTTAATCTATTCGAATAGCCGTGATCTTCGGTAACAGGACGATTTGGAGTTGTACCTTAACCTTATGACAACTAGAATCGGATACTTAATAAAACACACCCTTCCAAGTGCGAGATACAACCGGTGATCGCTCTCTCACAGGGCGACGAGGGGAGGATCATCGATTAGGATTATGCTACACGATGCTACTTGGAGAACTTACCATCTACTCTCTTCTCCTGCTACAAGATGGAGGTTACCAGAAGCGTAGTCTTCAAAAGGACTAGCTATCCCCCTTTTATTCCGGCTTTCTACAGTTCAGTCCACATATGATACCCTTATTCCATTTGATACCAATCCATACATACGTAGTGTAGCTCCTTGCTTGCGAGTACTTTGGATGAGTACTCACGGTTGCTTTGCTCCCTCTTTTCCCCCTTTCTATACCCGATTGCTGCGACCAGACGTTGGAGCCCAGGAGCCAGACGCCACCGTCGACGACGACTACTACTACTCGGGAGGTGCCTACTACTACGTACAGACCGCTGACGACGACCAGGAGTAGTTTAGGAGGATCCCAGGGAGGAGGCATGCGTCTCTTTCGATCTGTATCCCAGTTTGTGCTAGCCTTCTTAAAGCAAACTTGTTTAACTTATGTCTGTACTCAGATATTGTTGCTTCCGCTGACTCGTCTATGATCGAGCTCTTGTATTCGAGCCTTCGAGGCCCCTGGCTTGTAATATGATGCTTGTATGACTTATTTTTTGTAGAGTTGTGTTGTGATATCTTTCCGTGAGTCCCTGATCTTGATCGTACACGTTTGCGTGTATGATTAGTGTACGATTGAATCGGGGGCATCACAAATGGCTCGTGTCGTGTCTTGCGTTCCCAAAATGGGCCAGCCCAATTAGGTTTTTCCTCGCACCCATGTTTTTTTGTTTTTTTCACGTTTTTGTTACTTCTTTTTGAACTTTCGTTTATGCTTTCAAATATTCTAAGTAAATATATTATAAAAACTTTACATAAAACATTTGAAAAATGTTAAATGTGCATAGAGAATATGTTTCTCATGTATACGAAAAATGTATTTAAAAAAGTTAATTCAAGCATTTTAAAAAATGTAAATAATTATTTTATAAATGTAAATCAAGCATTTGAAATGTTAAATGTGTATAGAATTTTTTTGACCATGTATTATAAAAATGTTAATGTTAAACAGGTATTTCAAAAATGTTAATCAAGCATTTAAATAAAAATGATAAATATGTATAAAAATGTTGACCATGTATTGAAAATGATTAAATTTATTGATCATGTGTTAAAAAATATTAATCAAGCATTTCAAAAAATGTTGAATAAGTATTTGAAAATGTTAACCGAGCATTTGAAAAAATTTAAATGTGTATAAAAAATGCTTAGCATGTATTAAAAAAATTGTATTTGAAAAATGTTAATCAATCATTTGCACAATGTTAAATGCACATAGAAAAATGTAAAAAAAATTGGAAAATATTAATCTTGTATTTGAAAATGTTAATCAAGCATTTGAAAAATGTTGACCATGTATTCAAACATGTTAATCTTGTATTTTTTTAACCAAGTATCTAAAACATGGTTAGAATGTGTGTAGAAAAAATGTTAACCATGTACTCAAAGAAATGATAAACTTGTACTTGAATGTTAGCGTTCAAAAAAATGTTGATAGTGTACTAAAAATGTTATACTTGAAAATTTGGAAAATTGTAAACATGTAATTGAATAGTGCTCTTGACGTATAAAAAAGTGTAGAATGAAAAGTAAAAGAAACAAAGAAAAATGAAAGAACCAATGAAAACCAAAAAACAAAGACAACCAAATAAAAAATTATGAAAAGGAAAACCAAAGAAACAAGTGCAAATAAAATAAAATGGAAAACAATGAAACCCGATAAAGAAACAGATGAAAATCAACCGAGAAACTAAAAAGACGAAGAAACCTAGTAAATACAAAAAAAAAACTATGAACGAAGCGGAGCAGGCTAACTCGATCGCGTCACCTAGCGCGGACAAAAAAACGCAAATGGCCTGGCCAAATAGCTACGTCGAAAGTGAAAACTGTTCGGCCGGACAGAAGAAACGCTCGCATGATGCGACACATAGTCATGGCGGCAGCAAGGATGGTGCAGGTGAACAAACACACAGCCCAATCAACAGAAACGGATCAGATCCAGAGCCTACTTGATCAAAACCTACTCCAAATAGTACACTACACCGCACCATACTAAGGGCCTGTTTGGGACTACTTCACTTCATAAAATCGGTTTCGCTCCACTAAATTCACTCTGGAGCAATTCCATCTAGAAGTTGTAGTACTACCAAAAAGAATATTTGGCTGCCATCTAGCTCCAGCTTCAAGAATGAGAAATTTGATGGAAAGGATCTATTTGATTGGTTGAGGGGGAAAAACGAAGGGGTATCCACTTACTGGTGGCAGTGGTGGGTAATTTCCACCTAACTCCAGCTTTTGGAGTTTTTTGGAGCACCTCCTGAAGAGCTTCATAAAAAACTGAGAGTTGTACCCCAGATTCTAGTTTTTTTTGTGGAGCGGCATATCATGGAGCTACCTCGTTTGGCTTGTGTTTTCTGGAGCGGAGCTGAATTTTAAGAAGCAGAGCAGTCCCAAACAGGCTCTTAACACTTCACATGGGCACAAGGAAAACATTCCATCTTTTATTCCACTTTCCAACTGGGAGCAAACGGAATCTACTGCCCTAGAAAGCAGCAACTCTTTTTTTTAAGGGAAGACCATCATGGCTAGCTTTATTAAAACTTAAATAATGTTTACATCGTCTACGAGCTTACTGACAATAAAGTCAGGGGGCTCGTCCAACCAACTAAATGAAGTCTTATTACACTAACTAAAATGAGCTAGCATATGAGCCACTTGATTACAAGATCTATAACAATGCTTATAAACGACCTTCCCTATTGAAGTACTAGTGTCCAAACATTCTGCGAATATTGCCGCCGCCGAGTCCCACCATATGGTTTGTCCATCACAATAATTGATTACTTGCAAAGAATCTGATTCAGCTTCTACCCGGTTACTCCCAAAGGAGTTAGCAAAAATCAGCCCGTCTCGCATGGCCAACGCTTCTGTTGTTATTGCATCCACCGCAACAGGTATAAACTTGCATTGGGCTCCCAAGAAATTACCTTTGTCATCACGCAGGATAGCTGCCGTAGCACCTACCCCTTCGTCCGAGTAGTACGCCGCATCAACATTTAACTTAATGAACCGAGGGTCCGGCTTACACCACTTTGCTTCAGGGGAAATTCTCACCAGCAATGTAGCCCTCTAATGGTTGCTTGAGATTGATAACACAGAGAGTGCCCATCTCCAAGGGGGAGGAATTGATTCATTGTGCGTCACTTTTCTACGGATCCACCAAAGGTACCAGCCCCCGACGGCTATTACTTGCTTGAAGTTAATTATTGGGTGCATCTCAAGTTGCTGGTACGGCAATGATAAGATAAATTCCAAGATCGCAGACCCCGATCTATCAACCTGGATCGCTTGGTCGATGATATTTGTGATGCCCAGCTTCGTCCACAAGTGTCGTGCATTCGAGCATAAAAACATTAAGTGACGGATATCCTTGGCCCCTTAATGACAGATAGGACAAGCACCATTGGAACCAATGTGCCTGTTAGTAAGTATAGCTCTTAGTGGGATAACTCCTCGCAGTGCTCGCCAACAAAAAATCTGTACTTTACGTGGAATCTGAAGTTTCCAGAGAGTATTCCACACTGCCCGAGTGGTAGAGCCACCGGGGTGTCCCATCGTATTTGCATGCGCCCGAAAACTATGCATCCACTGCATATGATATGCACTCTTTACTGAGAAAATACCTGTCCTGTTCGGGCGCCATGCCACAAAGTCATCAAAACCATGCAAGTGTAGTGGAATCTGAATAATTCTGTGGGCATCCACTGGATTGAATAAACTTGTTATTAGCGCCTCATCCCACGTACCATTAGCCATATCTATTAATTCACAAACTTTGGTTAGGACCGTTTGACCCCTCGGTGATATCACCATTCTATCCGGACTAGAGGGAATCCACGGATCCGTCCATATGTTAACATGTTCACCAGTCCCAATCCTCCAAATGTATCCTTTCAAAATACTCTCCCATGTGAAGGACGACCCATTTTTTGGTGTAGCATCAATAAGGGAACCATTTGGGTAATATTTTGCCTTGAGAACTCTCGCAACCAAAGAATGCGGGTCATTGATCAACCTCCAACATTGCTTGGACAACATTGCCAAGTTAAAAGAGTAGAGGTCACGGAACCCCATGCCTCCTTCACTCTTAGGGATACACAACTTCCACCACGCCATCCAATGCATTTTTTTGGTCTCCTTATCATCACCCCACCAGAATTGTGCAATAGCATCCGTGATCTCTTTACAAATTCCCTTCGGCAAGCTGAAAACAGACATAGCAAAAATAGGAATAGCTTGGGCCACAGTTTTTAATAAGATCTCCTTCCCTCCTGTAGATAATATTTTTTCCATCCATCCCAATAATCTAATTTTAATTCTCTCTACAAAATGTCTGAAGCAGTCACTTCTATCAGCTCCCACTAGAGCGGGGAGGCCTAGGTATTTGTCAGATAATGCTTCTGTATCAATGTGCAGAATCTCACAAATCTCCGCTTTTGACACTACACTTGTATTTGGACTGAAGAAAATACTTGACTTAGCCAAACTCACCATTTGTCCTGAACTTTGGCAATAGGTATCTAGCGTCTGCTGTAAGGAAGTTGCATTTAACACATCTGCTTTCATGAGAATTAGAGAATCATCAGCAAATAAAAGGTGTGAAACTAATGGTGCATTTCTACACACTCTAATCCCATCCATGCCACCAACTTCTTCTTCATACTGCAACATACTAGAAAGTCCTTCTGCACAAATAAGGAACAAATATGGAGAGAGAGGGTCCCCCTGTCTAATACCCCTCGTCGGAGTGAAAATTTCTATTTCGTGAGAGTTAAATCTAACCTTGTATCTCACAGAGCTAACATAAGACATAATCATCTCAATCCATTGTGCATGAAAACCAAGCTTCTGCATCATGCTTCTCAAAAAGATCCATTCCACACGGTCATAAGCCTTATGCATATCTAGGTTTACTGCACACAAGCCTGTCCGCCCAGCTCTTTTATTCTTGATTTTATGAATACACTCATACGCAATCAACACATTATCCGTTATCAATCTACCAGGAACAAAGGCACTCTGAGTTGGCGAAATAATTTCTGGCAGGATACTCTTCAGTCTCAGAGCTAACATTTTTGAGATGATCTTATACAAAATGTTGCATAGAGTTATTGGTCTATACTGAGTAATCATTTCAGGTGAGTCTATTTTTGGAATCAGCACAATAGACGTATCGTTCCACTCAACCGGAATCTGACGATTATTTAACGCAAATAATACCTCCTGTGTAATGGCGTCACCCAGGACATGCCAAAACTTTTTGAAAAATAATGCATGGAGGTCGTCCGGTCCAGGTGCTTTTAGATCACCAATACTAAACACAGTCTTGCGAACATCATCTGCAGTGTACGGTGCAATTAAGAAATCATTCATTTGCGCTGTCACTTTGGACTGGACCTTTTGTAGTATCACCGGATCAACCTGTTGAACTTCTGAGCTGAACAAGTTATTAAAGTAGCTTCGTATATGTGGACTAAGAAGAGTCGTACCTTCCAACATATTTCCCTGTCCGTCATTTAATTTTTTAATAAAAAATTTCTTCCGTCTTGCCGTAGCATATGCCTGAAAAAAACCCGTATTGCGATCACCGAACTGGAGCCAGTTGGATCTCGATCTTTGCATATGATGTATTTCCTCGAGTTCTAGCAAAAACTCAATCAATTCAGAAAGCTCTTTTCTCCTCTCCTCTGTCTCATCATTCATAGGGCCGGTCATTAATTTTTCCAACTCCCTTTGTGTCTGCCGAAGTCTCTTCTTTGGCTTCTTGAGCACTCTCTGATCCCAGTCATGGAACATCCCATGCATACCGTCCAGTTTGGCCTGTACCGAAGTGAGGTTCGGATTGGTTTCAACCCTCTGCCATGTTTCCTGGACTAGATCAGCAAAGCTATTTTCTCTCAACCATCTAGCCTCAAAGCGCTTCACCTGGTTGCCACTTCCAGTGCTAGGTAAGTAATATTCCGTGTCCACAAGCAAGGGTCTATGATCAGAATGGTTGTAACTTAGATTCTGTAAAGCTGCATGGGGGTATAGGGCACCCCAAGAGTCATTAATCAGGCCACGGTCCAGCCGCTCTCTAATGCGACCTCGCTGCCACGTGAACTGGTCCCCCAGGAAACCCATGTCCCTTAGCTCACAGTCATGAATGGCAGATTGAAAAGCTTGCATATACTATTCAATAAATATACAGCAGTGTGAAGTGCCTCTCCCCAAAAAGACAATGGCAAGTCAGAATAAGCCATCATAGACCTAACCATATCCATTAAAGTCCTATTCCTTCTTTCCGCCACTCCATTCTGTTGTGGAGTATATGGCAAGGTATAGTGATGAATAATGCCATGTTCTTTGCAGAAATCATCTAGTATTCCTGACGTGTATTCACCACCACGGTCAGTTCTAAGTATTTTAATTTTCTTGTTTAGCTAATTTTCCACTTCCGCTTTGAACACTTTAAAAGCATCAAATCCTTCCGATTTGTGTTTAAGCAAATACACATAACTGTACCTTGAATAGTCATCTATGAAAGTGATAAAGTAGATTTTCTGCCCTCCCAAAGTGGGTGTGGAAAATTCCCCACAAATGTCAGTGAACAATGGCAAGTTGTTCTGTTGATCTATTTGCTTTGGGAAAAGGCGACCTTGTCATTTTACCCATAATACATGCTTCACAAATACCATAATCCTCCCACTTAAAGTTCAAAATTCCAGAACTAATAAGTCTCTTAATCCTATTCTCAGATATATGTCCAAGTCGCAAATGCCACAAGTAAGATTCGGAACAATTATTCTGTCCATTTATATTCCTCACAACGGAGTTATCTTCGCCTACTAAGCAATTATTTTCCATGATGTCATTTAGAAAATATAGTCCATCATGTCTATCGCCTGAATGTACTAATCTTCCATTTAAGACAATTTTAGCCTTCCCATCACCAAAGATAATATTATATCCAATTGACTCTAGTTTGGACACTGAAACTAGATTCCTTCTCATATTGGGTGAATAAAGTGCATTTTCCAACACTAAGTTTCCTCCATCAGGGAGTTTAAGCACATAGTTTCCAATTCATAGTATGTCTGCTTTAGCTTGAGTTCCTAAATAGACATGTCTTGTTCCTTTTGGAATTGTTTTGAGTGTGGCAAAAGAGCTAAGTTCTCTAGCTATGTGTGAAGTTGCACCAGTATCTACTACCCAACTATTCTGAAAAGTAGTAGTAAATAAGGATTCAGTGCAAACATAAACATCGGTAATACCTTCAGGGGATTGATTCCCCTTGCGGCTGTCATCCTTGTGAAAATTATCCCTTTCGCTGTTCGGCTTCCTCCTCTTGGTGCATTCTGACCTGAAGTGGCCTGTATTACCACAATTATGGCACTTGTAGTTCCTCTTGTCAATCTTCTGAAAAGAGTTGTTGTTGTTGTTGTTATTTCCATGCTGCCCCCTGTCCCTCCTCTCATCTCTGTAGTTCCTTTGATCCCTGTCACGTTTATAATTGATCTTGTCCCTTAGGTCCGGTCCTCCTCCTCTCTTATTCCAATTCCTCCGGTTCCCATTGTTTTTGTACTCACCAAGGTGAAGCTCTGGCTGATAAGAAGCTTTATCTTTCCCTGAGTTAAGCCTGCGATCCTCCTCCATTAGCAAGTGTTGCCTCAGGTTCCTCATATTGAGTGTGCGTTCTGAATGACAAAAAGAAATCTTGAACTGTTCCCATGATGGTGGCAAAGAATTCAGAACAACCATGACTTGTACTTCCTCCTGGAACGGATAACCAGCAGTTTTTAATTCTTCCGCCAAGACACAGAGCTTGTTGAAGTGTTCATTGACTGTTTTATCACCCATCTTCGATGTCAGAAACTTGTTCACAAGACTAAGCACCTTCACAAGGGAAACTTCTCCAAAATCTTGTTCCAGCCTGAGCATTATTCCATAAGCTGTTCTATCCGACTCATATTCCGCAGCCAACGAATCAGTCATCGAGCCAAGGATATAAACTCTGGCAGTCTTGTTGTCCTTGGTCCATTGCTTCAGTTCATCATTGTATTCCTGCTTTTCTTCATCTGTAGCATCCTCTGCTGGCTCGTTAGGCGCCGGAGTTTCAGAAACATAATCAATATTCTCAGCCGTAAGCAAGAACATGATTTTCCTTTTCCAAACCGTGTAGTTTGTTCCATCAAGTTTGTAGGCACGGAGTAATTCAGCGGACACCCCATTGGAAGCCATTGAAATTGGTTTCTTCTTCAGTTACCTGAAGTTCCTGTCGTTGTTGATGTCGGAGCAGTCCTTGCCGTGGACGCGAAGCAGGCCGGCGAGAGTTGGTCAGGGCGAGCTTGACGAGGCGGCAGTAAGCTGGCGACGAACACGGCGGGCTCCCTCCGGCTCGGCAAGGTTGACGGGGCGAACGTCGATGGGGAACGGCGCGAACGTCGAGGAGGAGCCGGCCACGAGCGGTGGCAGGGTCGGCCCGAGGTGGATGGGGAGGCGGACCAGAGGTGGAGATGTGGGCGTGGGGTGGATGCGGCGGCGTTGGGCGCTGATGCGAGCGGAGCGGCGGCGCTGATTGGTGGAGGTCGAGCAATGCGGCGGCGGCGCTCGGTCGAGAGGAATCGAGCCAGATCGATCTAATCTTGGGTGGAGCTGTTGTGTACGTACATGCCTATCTCTTTCCTTTTTTTTTAAGGAAAGAAAGACAGAGTACGCAGCGGAATACTAATCCAGATCGTAATTGATTTGACGACTAACAAAATCGTCAAACCCTTAATCGGCTCTGGTGCCAATGTAAGAGATATACGCACACGGTCTAACCCCTATTCCTCGATCCTTTTCCGTGGTTCCGCTCACAATGATCAATTGAGGGTAGGGGTTAGGGACCTTTATATAGTGCTATTCTAGTTAATTTCAAACTGTATAAACTGCAGATAAATGTTCAGGTAAAATCTGTTTAAACGAAGACTCCAGATTAACTTAACCAACCACGATCATTAGTAACCATCCAATGCAAAAAAATAAAATAAAAGTAACCATCAAAGAGTTTCATCTGCAAACTGTCCCATAAGCACGTACGTGTGAGTCGCACGCTGAATTTGAATTACAATTCGAATTCACAGGCTTTATCAATTCATGGAGCCAATCCCATGAACAACCTGGCATTCCATAATATGTTGTGCCCGGGCTAATATACATTTAGTACAATAAATATTCCAGCATTAATAAATACTGTTTCCAGCATATATGTACCGGCTTCCATGAACTATATTCCATTCATGTATTCCAAGCAATATTCAAGTGCATCGGTAAATTCCATATCGAGGTAAACATATTCCAGGAACTATATAGTAAAAATGTTGCAAGCCACACATAAGTATTTCCTACATGAGTGATTTATAAAGAAAACTCACGATCAGCGTAGCTGCCGGAGGACATCAAAACCCTGACTTTGTTAGTCAGGGGAACGGGAACCTGAAGAGAGGGCACCTCGTTAGTGCATCAAGCCAGCCTCACGAGGAGGTCACAGGGCCAGCGGCCGCCGCCGGCGGCGGCGACGCACCAACTCTAGATCGCCAGGAATATCGCCTCCGAGGTAAGCGCTACGAACCGGTATTCCTGCTCTAGAAAGCAGCAACTCTCTTTACACTGCCAGGTACATACAAACTGAAACTGAAATTAATCCGACGTTTCCTCATGCAGCACCATCCATGGATGGAACAGAGGGCCTGCGATTCTGTACAGTCCTGGATCAAGTCGACTCGTCGATCCTCCCGATGGTGTTCTGCCTTGCGTTTCGTAGAATGGTTTTATCCGCGGTGATGAAGAACCCGGCCACACAGGCTGTCCAATAAACAGGGATATTGTTTAGCAATTAAACTCCCAATTTTGTGTTGCTTGAGCATGGCAGACAAGAATAATCTTCCTTTTGAGCTACAGACGACCTCCAAATCCAATAGTGGTAAAGCAATACGCATGATCCTTGAACAGTGGCGTAGCTAGGGGGTGGCCAGGGTGGTCCATGGACCACCCTGGAATTTCCCCATAGCTTGTATATAGTGTAGTAAAAAAATATTTCTTTGAAAATAAATAAACTTATGTAAATATTTCTATTGATGGACCACCCTGATTTATTGGGCTTTATTGGGCTGGCTACGCCACTGTCCTTGAAGAAATGGCTTTCATCATCAATCTAACGTACGGTATCATCACCTTCTACTGTCTGAAGCTAGAACACCGACACTGATCAAGTAACTAGGATGGCTGAATCATTCAGTAGGATGGTACCTGTCGATATGATGAGCGCCTGCGCGGTGTAGTTCAGATTGTGCTTGGCCCAAGGAAGGACACGACAGGCAACGAACTGCGCAAGATCAAATCTGACAGAAGTCAGGATATATGCGAGCATGCACACAAGAATTCAGCACACAAAAACACGCACCGTGGGAACCGCGACCACGGTGCCTGCAATGGCGGCGTTCTTCCCTCCCAACAGGACAGCCTCTGCAACAAGATAACACGCGCAGGAAGCAAACATAAAGAGGCAGTAACAGCATTGGTTTCCAGATGGATCCGGGACGGTGGTGGAACTGAAAGAGGGCGGGAGGTCTTTTCTCTTCTGGGTACCTCGGATGGCGGCGCTGGATTCCTCCTCCTTGGGGGATCGGACGAAGAAGTTCCTGGCGGCCATGGCTCCTCGCTCCGTCCTGTTCCTCCCTTGCGGCTTCTTTCTCCTATAGCCTCTTCCGATTGAACGACGCGGTTGGTGATGACCCGAGTTGCCATGGCCGCCGGCAACTTCTTAAATCAAATACGAAAGGGAACACGGGTGTCCTTGACCTCGCTGGATGTGTATTTGAATATACATGGATGCCAATTCAACATCCACTGAATCTAGTCCCATGTAACCCTAAAAAAAGAAAAAAGAGTCCAGTCCCATGTGCAGGGGCGGCTACTGAAAAAGGCTGGGCCCACATGGGCTGCTATGTGAACTTTTCATATTTACAAACTAGATACTCGGTACTCCCTAGGGATGCGATGCGTACCTGTGGGTACGGGAAGAAACACGTTTTTTTTCCTTTCACGAGAGGCACGGTTGTGCTTTTGCGAGAGTCATGGATGTACTTTCAGAAACGAAAAAAAAACAGAAGCAAAACCGTGACTCTCACGAAAGAAGAAAAAACAGAAAACACATTTTTTTCGTTTCGAGAGATATGGTTGTGCCTCTCGCGAAAGCACAACCGTGCCTCTCGCGGAAGCAAAACCGTGACTCTCGCGAAAGAAAAAAAAACAGAAAACGTGTTTTTTTCGTTTCCGAGAGGCACGGCCGTGACTCTCGCCAAGCAAAATCGTGACTCTCACAAAAAACATGTATTTTCATGCAAAATAAAAAGAATTCGAATTTTCTTTATCGAAAATCTAAGGAATACTTGTGGAAAATCAAAACGTCGAAAACCCCAAAAAAACCGTGTAAAAAGCCAAAAACGCGTGCAGAAAAAAAATCCGAGGGAGTGCCCAGAACGCGACACGTGGCGAATGGGCGAGAGCGCGTCAAGTGGCGCTGATCACTGCCTAGCTCCTGAAGGAGCGCTCGTTAACTAATTGCTCTCTTGTGCCGCCTGACCTCTACGAGTTCAAGGTTTGAAATGGACTTTTTCCAATAAAAAGAGCGTGACAAAAGCCGCAGGCCGGCCCAAATAGCGGAACTGTATGCATCATAGAAGGCGCTGTTGCGGCCTTGCGGGGAACTCATATGTGCCGCTCGTTGCGGCAAATTGCCGAGCGGACGCACAGGCGACTCCTACCAGGCCGGCCATTGGCGTATCATAGTGAAAAATCTCAAAAATGAGTGCTCGAATGAGGGATTGAACATGGGACCTCCTGTTGCTTACAAGCGCAGCTAGCCAACGGAATTAATGAGATTTGTTGGTTTAATATGGCGCGCTAACCTAAAGGTAATGTGAGATTGGAACATTTTCTCAAATTCCAAACACAAACCTTATTTTGAAAATAGTAATTGTATTTTCAAAAAAGTGAACACATTTTTAAATTTGAGAAGAAAAATAAAAAACACGAACATTTGTGGACTATGTGAACAAATTTCTGAAAATCAGGAACATTTTTTGAATATGTGAACAAATTTTTGATAGTGGGAGCATTTTCTGAAACTGTGAACAAAAATTTGAAAACAGAATATTATTTCAATCTGTGAACAATTTTTTAAACAAGAACATTTTTTCAAACTCAGGACAAGAAGTTGAAAATGACAACATTTTTTAAAATTTTCAAACAAATTTTGGAAATCAAGGACATTTTTTTATGAAATCGCGAACATATTTTAAAACTGTGAAATATTATTAACAAACGAAAAAAACATGAGAGGAAAAAAATGGAAAGAAAAACCAGTAAGAAACCATATCAAGCAGTAAAGAAACAGAAACTGGGAAAACTCAGTTAAAACAACCGGAGAAAGTCTTCCAGAACGGCCCTAAACACAGGAAGCGTGTGCTTGCGTTAAGTGGGCCGGCCCACTCTGCTCGTGCCTCTGCGATTCGCCAGTAATTTGACGCAGCGTGCGTCATATAGGGAATTCCGCTGTTGCGTATTTTCAATTTCCAACAGAACAACGGACTCGATTGTAGTACTAGCAAGTAGTCACGTGAAACCCTAAAAAAAAAGTAGTCACGTGAAAGTCTAGCCCGCACCTAGATCGAAGGCGATGCCACTACAAATATACCACCCGCCACCCGGGCAGACGCATAGCATAGTCGCACGATCGCTCCCGATCCAGTCTCACTTGGCCAACTCCAACTCCTACGTACCTACGCGAGAGGAATCGTCGATCGACTTGTCCCCCTTGATGGCGTCGCCTGCCATGGACATCGCCGCCGGGGACTTGTTCTACGGAGCGCTGCAATCGCTAGACGATGGCCTAGCACAAGGCATCGCCCAGGACGGCGCCGACAGCATGCACCTGCTGCGAGAACAACAGCAGCAGCAAGCATACGCCGAGGCGCTGTTTCGCGAGCTTGATTTTAATTCCGATTTGGCCATGGCGGACACAGACGACCCTGATGCTCCATGCGACCCGGCGTTGGGCGAGGCGCTGAAGGCCGTGGAGGCGCCGTCCGACGGCCAGGGCTGCCCGATTTGCATGGAGGAGGACCACGACGATGACGACGCGGCGACGGGCGCGTGGAAGGAGACGCCGTGCGGGCACCGGTTCCACGGACGGTGCG